AATGTTCACGAAGCTCGCACCTCAATAAGTCCATTGTTACGCGTGCTGTTTGGCATGCGGTACCATCATGCAAGTCAACAAAAAAAAGTTGATATCATTTCATGGTAGCGCCCACCATTCACATCATCTTTGAAGAAGTACGGTCCTATGATGCCACCAGCTCATAAACCGCACCAGATTGTGACTTTTTCTGGATGCATCTGTAGGTCTTGCAATGCTTCTGGCTGATCTTCACTCAAAAATCGACAATTCTGCTTATTTACGCACCCATTAAACCACAAATGAGCTTCGTCGCTGAACACATTTTTTTTTGTTTGAACTTTCTTAACAAAGTATGCATTTTGATGATAAAATTCAATAACTTGCAATCGTTTTTCGTTTATAAGACGATTCATGGTTAAATTATAGACTAAACTGAAGATGTTTGACTGTGATTCAAAAGACGAAACGGGCGTCAGCTGTGTAAACCAGTGTTGCCAAAAAGATAAAAGCTAAAAAATCACCTTCGAACAAAAAACAACTTCGTCTGTTTTCAGCCGATTTCGACAAATGTGCATGGTTCTGAAATTTCATTCAATGCCATTTTAACCATGAGCTAATACACACCGAAAGAACGCCCGTAAATCTTAGCGCCTCTCGGCACGGCGCGTTTTTTTTGAGGGACTTTGCTTCTCATAACAGATATGCGCTCGGAGTACTGGACATTCCCTGCCTTTATTAATATTATTTTTCTAAAAATATTTTATTGATTTGTCACACCAGGACTTGAATCAGGTCCTTCCGAATGTCAGGACGCAATGATAACTCGGCTATTAATTACACGGAAAATATCCTTTAATATATATATTATATATATTATAATTAATTTTAAGTTGAATTCGTCAACTGTATTAATAATTTAATATACTTTGCTTACTCTGTTAATCGATGTAGGTAATGTTTAACTTCTATCGAGAGCTTGTACAAGATTATGGTAAATCTGCTCCTACGGAAAATTCTCACAAAAATGCGAATTTTAGCATCCCAGACAAAAATTGGCATGACAAGATGATTTTCCACCATGACAACGCTCTACCCACGTGGTGCAACTGTCAAACACTACATGGAAACGCTGAAATGGTCTTACTGCACCTGCCGTATTCTGTAGATTCTATGCCCCTTCCGACTTCTGGAAATTTCGACGGATCAAAACCATTGCAGGGTCACCAGTCTTACTTCTTTTGAAGACATCGCCGAAAGGCTCAATGATCGATAACAGAGAGGAACATATTCAATAATTATTTCTTTCTAAAATGAAAATTGAAAGCTTTGCATGTAAGTAAAATATTTCATCTTATCTGGAGTATCAATTTCGATGGAAATTCAAATACCGAACACAAACTATGAAATGTTTTTCTATTATTTTAAAGGCTCTTAATTTCGCTTAAAGTAGCGCAATAAAAGTAAGAAACGCTGTTTTGTTGTGACATAATATTTGTGTAATTATTGAAATCAGGTTATATTAATTTTAGGTACATGAAATATTTGTACGTCTTATTGATAATATTTAATAAACTATGCACAATAATGCAACATCAGAATTTGTACTAATTAATTGAATGTAGGAAATAATATTGTAGTATATTGTACTACAGAGGTATGATTGCAGATTCATTCTCAGTAACTCTTTTAATTTAATTGTATTTTGCTGAAATTCCCTAATTATTTCAATTAGTATTTGTATAACCCCTAAGCAGTTTGACGGTTCTGATGTGTTTCAACAGAAATCAGTGCACTCACTACTTAATTGCATACAAGAAAACTCTAGAGCATATAAATTAATTTACTTTGAGGAGAGAACTAGATCGATTCTGCCTAAGTTATTCTGATCTTACCAAATTATATTTTTTCTAGGTACATCTCATACAACTGACACTCACTAGCCTCAAGACAAATAATACAATATTATAGTACGTGGAAGGTACATACAAATATCCATATATACATTTATGTGTGCATATCTTTGACCATCAACACCTAATGCACTACTATGCAAACTTTTAACCCCAATTGTTGTTGGATTTCTAATATTCGCTCGATCTGCACAGAAGCGGTACCAATTCTCTTAACGACCAATAAGAAGCATTTTCCGCCACCAAAAAGTAAAATACAATTGCCAAAGTATCATGTTGAAATAAACACATTGAATGTGCACCACAGCGCTCTATTGGTTTGTATGGCGAGTGCCGCAGGCAAAATGCCTCAACTTTAACCATTTCAAAAAATGTGAAAAAATTAAGATTTTGCACATCTTGACTATTCTTTCTATCCACACTCGGTTCAACGATGGTCACATTCATACCAATGCTTAGCGAGGCAGAGTTTGACGCTGAAGCAATGGATTGGTGTTATCTCTCCGAATAGAGAATGGTTTCCCGACGCTTCTGCTGTTTCGGCTTTTGCTGCTGTCATTTCTATAACTATAACAATTCTCATAATACTTTGACTATCTCAGTCTGAACGATAATATCCACGTAAAGGCGCCACTAAAATCAATAGCTGCGGCATTTACGTGCTTACATATATTCATCGGAGTTGCTTGAAAGAAGATGCTTCCCTCCCACATTCCATTCGTTTCGCAGTTTTCATTTTCTTATGTTTTTTACAATTTTCTTTTTTCTTTTTCTTGCCTTTTTCTTCTCGAAATGGCGTAACGAGGAAGATTCCAACAACACGTAGTGGGCGGTGATGCACATGCGCTTCAAGATTGTGAATTTTCTCAATTTTCTGCGGTTAGATACAGAAAAGAAAAAATATTTGAACCAAGTTAAAATTCTGTTCTTTAACTTTCGCTAAAATTTACAGAGGCGAAATGAAATACATCAGGCAATATTTTAAAATTTAAATTTAATTTAACACGACCTCCACGAGTTTTTCCTTCTTGAATTAGACGTTTTTAATCAAAATATAGGCCTGACCAAATGCGGTCATGTAATGGTTTTCGAAACATTATCAGATCTAAGCGGGACAGGTACCAGAATAACAATAATTTTTGTTGGACGCATTGCTCAAGTGGTTGGCAGTGCGACCTACCATGCGGTAAGTTATAGATTTCAGCTCTTTGTGGTTGGTCCTCTCGGCATGGATTGCCAACATGAAATAAAAGCTCCTTATATAAATACATCGATCGTTCGGGGGTGACTTAGAATAAACTGTAGATCCCAAAGATTTGCGTACATCAGAAATTAGAGAAGAATCAAAACGAAAATCACTTCAGATCTTACTTTTATTTTACGTAAGAAATATTAATTATCATTCGATAACCTAAACCTTTATGAATTAGGGCAAACATTGCATACATGTATGTTTCGCCTTAAGGTAGTTCAGCTCGGAATCAAACTTAATTTTGCAAGTTTTGGCAGAATGCACGTTTTTATGTCTGTACTTGCATCTTGCTGCTATTTTCATTTTTTTGTATCTATCCCATTTCTCACGTGTAGTGGTCGACCTCTCCACCTTTTCGCGAAGCTAAAAGCTTGAAATGCCCTTCCACCGTTCTCTTATACCGAGTTGGGTTTCTCAATAAAATGAAAACCTTTCATAATTCATTGACTTAAAACCCTATTATCAGAGGAATTTAAAGTTGTTATTCCGGAGTGGAGTTTACCAGCCACCCACACAGTGTATTCAATTAGATACCACATATCGATTAACATGATGAATCTGTTCGTCATTACAGCTGTACATTCCGATGATCTAACATTGACTCGGCGGAGTGAAGATACGCTCCCTCCTCTCTTTATCAAATCCGTCAACAAACACAAGGAAGTTTCGAAGTTTAAAAGCTGTAATCACAATAGGCAGCCGAGCGCTTTGCAATTCAACTTGCGCACCTAGTTTCTGAGAGCACTCATCAGAAAATCGATACAAGGGCACAGTGGTACGGCATCTCGAACTTCCTACGTGCCGCCATTAGTATGATGAGGAATGCCGAATCTACTTGCTATCTTCCGATTTACCATAACACCTGCCGGTTGAGATAGATACCGAGAGCTGAAGAAGAAAGCAAGACGCATTTGGAGACAAGAAAAAAGAGACCAAAAGGCGTCAGTATAATGCGACAGCTTACCAAGGATAACGCTATGAAATGATCCGACCAAGCATGCCCGATGATTCTAATATAAGTACGATTTGCCCAAATCATAATTAAGGGGACTCAACGGTCATGCCGGGAAAAAACAAATGTGTGATCAGTACATCGGTACGAGGCTTCAGACAGGGCGACTCTTTATCACAGTCATAACTTCGAGGTCGTATATAATTTGGTATATATGTATATCTAGAAGCCAGCATTAACATCCATAAAATTGTCAGCCATTAAATACAACGCAGAATCGCCAAAACGTGCTACTTTGGACTGGGTATGCAATTTGAAAGTAAAGTCCTCTCTCGACGAACCAATATCAAACTCTACAAAGCACTCATCATTCGATATTCCACAGCATCCGATGAGTTGGCCTTGGAAATCTTCGGGAGAGTTGACTATGAATCCATGTAGTCCGTTCATCGGTACATAAATATAATATAATCCAGCGAATGAAGAGGCAGCGGTTTTCACTTGGTATTTTAAACTAGTGCTAAATAACGAAGAGAAGAAGCGAATGGAGCGCTATTGTTGATTCGGCTATAATCGCCTAAGCGGTGCTTACATCAATAAAGAAGAAGAATCAAGTGAAAATATATACGAAATCGGTGTCCCTTTCCTGAACTAATTATGAGTTATAACATGGCGAAAACGTTAGCTGAGTTTCTGTTTTTATTAATCTATTAGTAATCTATTAGTAAATAAAAAGCTCTAAAGATTACGGTCATCCGCTTTCTCTGGCTTCTCAAAAAATTTAAGCTTTTGTGCCAATAACAATAATACTGTAACTTATTTTCACTGCAGTCATGGTTTGTTTAGATTGAGTATTCCAAATTTGAACATTTATTTGAAGTTAAAGTTTGTTGTACGGCTCCAGGTCGCCTGAGAGTTAAATTTGAAAAAAATTTATCCCTTGAAAAATTAAAAATATCTCCGCTTATGCATTGTCACACAGGTAAAGAATTTATTGCATGAAGTCCAAATGTTGTAAATAATGAAACTTTCTTTTACATTTTTTATAAAATATTTTCTCACTCGTGGTCTTTTCAGAATAACAAAAATGGAATTCAACAATTAACGTTTAACTCAAGACATGCTTCTCACAATTTTCAATTGTTGATTTGTATTTGGTATGTATGTATGTATGTATGTATGAGTATGTGAGTTCAGTATTTCTCTTTAATTATGGCTATGACAACTTACTCCCTTGGAATTCGTGGAACCCCATTGATATTGACAGCCGAATGCAGGTAAAATTAAAAATTTATCAAATTTATTACACCCGATGAATGTGAAAATAAAGAAATAATTCAAAAAGGTGCCACCAACAAAAAAAACTACAAAGGGACTCGAAATTAAGTTGTGTCTCATGTGCAGCTGACGTAGCGCTATGAGAGTGTATATATGTATTTGTATACAAGTATATGAACACACATATTTGATTCGGAAGATGACGGCTCGAGCAAAAGAAAAATTAACATACATACGAGTAGTTGGTTTTTATAAAAGGTCCATGTTTTAAGTTATTGAAACTTCAATATATATAAAAACTTACGCACAGGTAAGATTGCACACATTCTCATGCAATATAAGAGGTTTTTAATTCCCAACAACAGATGCCTGTTTACAGATATCTTATATTTCCAATGAATGCTTGTTTACATATGGATGTGTGAGTGAGAGCATTCGTCCAACCGAGAAAATGAAACGTAAAACAGTCAAACATCAGACCCTCAATAACGAGTTCCCAACGCTTGCGACAGCTCACTGAACTCCGTGGGCTCATGCTGCGTCGATAATTAAAAGTAATAAATAACTTTAATGGCAGCCGCGATGTAAATTGTCTGTAACATATTTCATTGGCTTAGAATGTTTACATTTGAACGTATACTAAAGTCTCCATTTTCAATTTGATATAAAATTGAACACGGGTGTGGAATGGAGAAACGGTTACGAGGAGATGTTAACAATATTGAATTTTAAGACAAACGATAAAAGCCGATTTCGAGTATAAAAAGTATTCTCCTAACTTCATCCCACTTAACCACATCCTTAAAGCACTTAAAATGAATTAACATAGATGAAAAATTCTATATTTTGACCTATGGACAAAATATTTACTAAAAAATAAAAATATTTAAGAAAATTTTAATTTAAGAAAATTATCATTTCAATTTCCACTGACTTTATTTGTTGTTACTTAAATATTTAAATTATGATTTTATCGCGCTTTACAGTGGCTTAGTCTCTAAGACACGCTCTTAGAGAGGTTGAAAGGTAAAAATACTTATTGGAAATATTCACGCCCAGTAATAACCGAAGACCGATATTGGACTTAAGCATGTGAAGTACTCTATGAAGACGTTTAAATAAACCGATGTTGCTAGCTCTGCGTACCATAGTTTCCATAACAAATTTTTGTTATGCAAGCTTTCATAAATAAACAAATAAATAAAAATAAAGTGCATAGTCGACTTCACAGTAAGGCGCATACAATTACCGAAATTTCCGTACAAAACTAAATAAGTGTGTTAGCCTTCCTGGCATAGATTTTTCCATTTCCAATTCGAAGATAACAATTCACAATACATAAATACAAAAAATAAAAACAAATGCTTGGCAGGTAGGAGTATAAGCCCCTCAGAAAAATTTGACTAAGAATGAACGATTGGAAAAACATTAAAACTCGCACCACAAACTGGGGCAGCAGCTCTTCCGAAAATCAGCGCCCATAGATATGTTTACTAACAATCCGACCACCAGCTGTTTTGTTTTTTTTTTTTTTCGAAATTTATTCAGTTAAGACAATATAACTGGTATTGCTAAAAAATGACAGATGAAGAATGATGAAAAGTTAAGATAAAGTTTCAACTAGTTCTTATGTCAATAGATAACGCGAGATGTGATCAGGAAATATCCGTTATTTTCAAATTTAGTGAGTTGCGTATGTTCAATTTTCGTTTCTTTTTCTGTTGTGGTGCTACATATGTCTGTTATATACATATGTATCTTGGAAATTACAGCCATTTTGGATTGTCAGTTTGTTTTTGACAGATAAAAGGTTAGTCGTTTTTTCGTGAGCTCTTCAAATTTTTACTATTCGGAAAAAAGGATCAAATAAACTGTATAAAGTTTTGTGTAAAAAATGAAAATAAATGTGCAAGGACAATTGAAATGTTGAATGTGGCGTTTTGTGAGTCTACTATGAGCAGAACACAACTTCAATTATGTTATAGTCGGTTTGAGGAAGGCCGAGAAGATGTCCGTGACAATGCTCGCCCTGGTCGCCAGACTAAGTCAACAACCGATGAAAACATTGAAGCAGTGAAGAAAATGATTTTGGATAATTGTCGAATCACTATCAGAGGTTGCTGATTATGTTGGCATATCGTTCGCCTCAAGTCAAACCAAGCAATTCGTCAGAATCGCACAGAATTGTGGAAAAAACAATAATGGAGTTTACACCATGATGACGCACCAGCGCACACATTGATGCGTGAGTTCACCGGACTTGGCCCCCCTAACTTTTTTCTCTTCCCAAACCTGAAGACACCGATGAAAGTAAAGCGTTTTGCTACGATTGAGTAGATAAAAGAAAAATCGAGGAATGGAAAAAACGCTGGCATAAGTCTACTATATCTGGGGGGGATTACTTTGAAGGGGGCAAGATATTGATGAATAAATAAGCACTTTTTGAAAAAATTTAAAATAACTTCTTTTTTGTTAAATTATAAATTGACTACATTTCAGTTAACTATATGCATTTCTAATAGCAATCGCCCGCTTAAAAAACAACAAAGCGGCGGGAGCTGATGGCCTAATGGTAGAACTATTCAAACATGGCGGTGAAGAGCTGACAAGGTGCATGCATCAGCTACTTTGCAGAATATGGCATGCCCGACAATTGGAATTTAAGTATGCTCGGCCCAATCCATAAAAAAGGGGACCCCAAAGTCTGCGCCAATTACCCTGTAACAAGCCTCCTTAACATCGCTTAAAAGGTCCTGTCGAGCGTATTATGTGAAAGACTGAAGCTCACCGTCAACAAACTAATTGGACCTTATCAGTGTGGCTTCAGATCTGGTAATTAAACCATTGACCAGATATTCATCATGCGCCAAATCTTAGAAAAGACCCGTGGAAAGAGGATCGACCCACGCCACCTCTTCGTTGATTTTAAAGCCGCCTTCAACAGCACGAATAGGAGCTGCCTTTACGCCGCGATGTCTGAATTTGGTATCCCCGCAAAACTTATACGGCTGTGTAAGCTGACACTAGACAACACCAGAAGCGCAGTCAGAATTGGGAAGGAACTCTACGAGCCGTTCGCTACCAAACATGGTTTCAGACAGGGTGACTCTTTGTCGTGCGATTTCTTCAATTAGATGTTGGGGAGAATAGTAAGAGCTGCAGACTGATAGAGAAGGTACAATCTTCTATAAGAGTGTACAATTACTGGCGTACGCCGGTGATATTGACATTATCGGCCTCAACAACCGAGACGTTAGTTCTGCTTTCTCCAGGCTTGATAAAAAAGCGAAGCGAACGGGTCTGGTAGTGAACGAGGACAAGACGAAATATCTCCTGTCATTAAACAAACAATCATCGCATTCGCGACTTGGCCACCACGTCACTGTTGACAGTCATAATTTTGCAGCCGTAGATAATTTCGTCTATCTAAGAACCAGCATTAACACCAATAATAACGTCAGTCTTGAAATCCAATGCAGAATCACTCTTTTCAACAGGTGCTACTTTGGACTGAGTAGGCAAATGAAAGGTAAAGTAATCTCCCGACGAACGAAAACCAAACTCTACAAGTCCCTCATCGTTCCCGCCCTGTTATATGGTGGGGAAGCATCGACGATGACAGTATCCGATAAGACGGCGCTTGGAGTTTACGAGAGAAAGGTTTTGCGTAAGATTTATGGTCCTTTACGCGTTGGTAACAGCGAATATCGCAGACGATGGAACAATGAGCTGTACGAGTTAAACGGCGAGGTTGATATAGTTCAGCGAATCAAAAAGCAGCGGCTACGCTGGCTAGGTCATGTGATCCGTGTGGATGCAAATATTCCAGCTTTGAAAGTTTTCGATGCAGTACCCGCTGGTGGAAGCAGAGGAAGAGGTAGACCTCTACTCCATTGGAAAGGCCTGGTTGTAATTGGTTTTTCGAATTGGCGCCAACCAGCAAAAAGAAAAAACGAATGGCGCACTGTTGTAAGTAAGTGAAATCAGAAAAGAAATCACAATAAATGAAGAAAATATTAATTGAAGAAATCTTGCGATTTTGCAGGAATTTCTTATCTATATTGCCTTGTGTTTGGATTGTGTTGGGTCTGAATGTCGTGCTTGGATTATTGCCTATTTTGCATCTATCAGCTTCTTACACTGGGTCATAATCAATCAATTAGGACATAGTCGTTAGCTAGTCGCTTGTCTCAAGCTTCGCATCATACGCAAGGGTTTCTTATACCCTAGTTCAACGAAAAAACAACCAAAACCTTGCATGAGAACTTTCTATTTTGTTATTGACCACCTAAACTGTGCTGAGATTGCCTTTTGCAAGCCAGGATATGCGTGCTTGGGTAATTCAACGTCAGGTTAAGTGTTAACTGTAATAACAAATTTTAATATAAAAAACACAAGTAAATGAAATACTTGAAGCTATAATATCATAAAGAACGGACGAAATATCTGTAATTTCTAGACCATTAATTCGGATCATTATTTTATCGTAACCAAAGTACGCAGTCGCTAGATAGCTTTCTAGTCCACTTGCACAGCTTTCGGAGAGTACTCGTCAACAATCCGGTAACAGTTCTCTTTTCTGAGTTTCGGCAATGTCGAACGCTGTGCAAAGCGAGCAATATGATAAAAATAATAAGAATTGAGGAGGAAAAAAATATACTGAAATGACTGAGTACGAAGAGCTTGGACACTTGGCCGACAAAAAACTTACTCCAAATACTATGAAAATATGTAGCAGGTTTCAAGGCTAAGCGTACTAGAGCATGTTCAGAGTATATCTACTCTTGGCAAGCTTAATTGCAGCAATGGAGAAAATACTCAAGATGACGATTTCATTAATGTTCCACCAGATGATAATGACAATGGTCGAATATACATACATATATATATATATATATATATATATATATATATTGCTCATCTGAAATAAAGCGGTGGAAACCGAGTTCTTAACAATCGGTGGGAATTTCAAATAAAACTGAAGTGTGAATTAGTTTTATTTCGAATCCAAGTATGCGCTGCCCAATCCAAATGCCGGATCAAGGAATAGTCTGAGTCTTAATGCCGTGAAATATATGGTCCCATCTGGCATATTTTGTGAAGTACTAAATCCTGCCTTAGAATAAGTTTGGCTGTAAGTTGGCCCAGGACGATACCAGAATTTCCGTCTGAATTTAAAAATACATCACGCTGGTCAAACGCTGCTACTTTAGTATTTATCTACTCAGTTAAGAAGCAAAGTCCTCTTTCGGCCCATAAAAAATTCAAAGCCGCTAACTACTTTCGTGCTATATCGTACGAGGTGAGCACGATGGCAACATTCGATGAGTAGGTGCTTGAGCTTGAGTATCAGCTTTGAGCTTTTATATACTGGTTACAGCGAATGCAGTAGACTTTGTAATTGCTTTTATGAGATATGTTAAATTTCTTCAAAATAAAGATTCAGCTTGGTTGGTGTGTATATAGTTGAGCTGCGGTCTTGATAGGGACTTATTGTTAATTATAAGAATACATTTCATATGATTTTTCTTAGAAACTTGTAAAATAATTCATATATTCACTTAATCGCTGACAGCAATACTGAAGGTAAACCAGACATTGTTGTTTCAACAGTTGTCGACATACTCTCCTCTCGTCTTATTTCACTGTATCTAATTGGTTTTATTAATACATACTGAAATCATCAAGTAAATGTAAATTGAAAGTTATTTATGTTATTTGTGCAAACGCAAGAGCAATGTTCTTTACGACGATGATCAGCAGTTAGTGGAAATGGCGATTGCGGTTTACAAGCGGTTGGAAGCTCGCTGCTTGTCCCATTAAACGGTATAAAATGTTGTTGACAAGACT